AAGAGAGAACTATTTTTCCTCATAAGGAATAGTAGCTTGATTCTTCCCTCGGCCTTCCACTGACTCAGGGTTATGAGTAGATGAAGTCCAACGCAAGATCTCTCATGTCAGTTATGATTAGAGCGCAGCGTATAGAGTCTATGATTGGCATTGAGTCAGTTTTGTCTAACTGGTAATGCTGAATTCAGCTTTAGTAAATGAAGACCTATTTTAAAACTCCAATTAAGCGTGAAATTTATGTGAGCTGTGTAACTCACGGCGATAGAGCTTACATGTTCATTCGAACAAAAAAAATTTACAGCTACCCGTTTTAGACTGTTTAAAACAATCAAGAAGAATTGAAAAGATTGTTGCAGTTCAAAAGCAGAGAATTTGCAACTGACAGAGCAACAGGAAGTAAACAATCAATAAGTCATTGAAGAAAACAGATAACAGATAGACAATAAACAATCTGTAAAGATATCATTAAATCCGACTCTCCTCAACAAAAATCAAACTACGAACTGTTCAATATTTTGTATAAAATAGTTTTAGAAACGTTCACAACTATTAGGTTCTCCATGTTATCAGAAAACCAGATTAACCTGATCTTATCCGGTAGAGTAAAGTACTTTGTTCATAATTTATTCATTATATCTTGGCCTTGTGCTAAATGTAAGAATTCATTAGCCATGGGGATGAAAAAGGAAACAATCGAATAAACAACCAAACAAAAAAATGTATTGACAAGATTTTCAAAACCTCATCAGACTTTTTTTGCATCATCTAAGATATGATTCACTGAAGAAAAGCAGTAGAGGCTCGATAATTAAACCTCGGATTATTCAAGGGAGGATTAACTCGAAGAGTCTTGTAATCTCCTACTATCAAGGTGTTGTAGGGACTATATGGAGATTTAACTCTGAAAGCCAATTTCAATGATCTATAACATAGCAAAGTCGTTATGAAACATATGAACCCTGCAAATATAAAAATATTAACAAAAATCAGAACTAAACTACCTTCTGATAATCCGACGAAAATCAAAACAGCGTGAATATAACAAGATCGACTTTCACATCTTATATTTTCGCTTAATAAATTGACGATGTGAGCATTCTGTATAAACAAAGCTATTGATAACATTAAAGATAAAGAACTAAAAATTAATAGTAAAACTTGTGCTGCTTCATCTAATCGTCTGAAATTATTGGAACAGTACTTCGGAATAGACTTTTCTATTACCGAACTGCAATAAAGCATAACAGGGCGCAAACAAAGTATAAGACTGCAGCAGTTGTTGAGAAGATTTCAAGAGTTAACTGATTCGTGAAAATGTCAAAAATCTAAAGTATTCTTGAGGTAGAAGCAGAAATTATCTAATTTACTAGAACAAAAACTGAAAATGCCAAATGAATTATCCCCAGAAGGACACCACAACGAGCACATGGCCAAGCTCTGGATAAGCTCCCAAACGGGTCTGATATCAAAAGTCAGAAAAATAGATTATAATCTTCATTAATACCTCCTTCATTAAACTTTCTGATTATTGTTGAAGGACTGGTGCTTACGACAGATACAAGCAGCGGATTATCATCAGCCATTTTTCAGAAAAAAAGTAGATGCCAATGAAAGAAAGTTCAAGAGAAATAAGAAGAAGGTTTCGACAGGTGTTTTCCATTACATTCGGCTCATCATGCAGAGGATCAGGCAAATGCAAGTTTAGTGTAATGCCAGATGTCAAAAACTGACAAATTTTTTGTTGGAATAAGAAGAAAATGAGAAAATAAACGCTGTTTTATAGTTTGCTGTTCATACTGAACTACAGATCATTTGGTAATGAATGAATGAAGTTTAGTGAAAGATGTTTGTTACTATCATATTTCTGTTTTCATTCGTTTGTTTGGTCGCATATATAAGTAAGAAGAGTTTCAAATTTTTATTGAATTTTCGAGTATTCTAGAGAAATAAAAGGAAATTAGAAAAGATCTAACCTATTGGATGCGAATTTTCGTTCTATGTTACGTTGTTACGAGACGAAAATGATTAATGAATTACATACATTTTCAGATGAAAGATTTATATAAAATTCTCTGGTATGCAAGGGCGTATATGCACATTCTATATACGATGGTGTGTGTATATATGTAATAATATAACAGAAGGAAAAGGTGAAAAAGAAAGGTTTTTAGAAGTCAGAAGCACGGGCACGGGATGGTGATCGAAGAACGGCAGCAGACTGAGATGTCTGAAGACCTGGGGCGACGGAAGCAGATGAACGAGACTTAGCGCGCATCTTAGAAAGCGAGTTTTCAGCAACATCAGCTCTCTCTTCAGCGTCTTCCAATTGATGTTGAATTTGTCTGTATTTCTGGAGATTGGTGTTGGCAACTTCTTCCTGAAACGAGTTAATTCATGAGACTCTCACATTGAGATTAATATAACATACAGCTTCTTCGATTTGTCTCTTTTGGGTCTTCAATTTGTTTTGGAGTTTGTCGATTAAGTCCTGGAGTCTTTCGAAGTTCTTCTTATCTTCATCGACCTATAACACACGTTTTAGAAATATTCAACTTAATTCTCTTTACTTGGAATTGAAGTTCACGGACACGACGGTCGGCACGTCCGAGATTCTTGTTGGCGTCTTGGTAACGGCGTTGTTCAGCATCGAGTTCAGATTCCAATTCACGGACACGTTGCTCGAGCTTGGCAATAACCTTAATTTAGAGTATTTAGTTTTTCAATGTTTGTTGAATAAGCTCACCTTCTTTCCTCCCTTAAGGGCAGCAGCTTCGGCTTCATCGAGCCTGACTTGAATTTCCTTAAGTTGTTGTTCGAGTCCCTTACGTTGACGGTCAACGTGTTGGGAGTGTTCTTGTTCTTGACGAAGTTCTTCGGCAAGTCTTCCAGCATCAGCAATAGCTTTCTTACTACGTTCTTCAGCAGCCTTGAACTCGTTGAGGGTTTCGTCGAGATCAGCCTGAAAATTAATCCTGATTATTTTGATTGTAAAGCTATGAAACTTACGTGGATGGCTTGAAGTTCTCCTTCGAGCTTTCTCTTGGCAGCAGCCAAAGAGCTAGCTTGAGCAGAGAATTCGTTGGCTTGGTCGCGAGCGTCAGCAGCCTCGTACTCAGCTTGTTTGCGGGCACGTTCAGCGGCTTCGTTGGCAACCAAGAGTTCTTCCTTTTCGGATTGGAGAAGAGTGGCGCGCTTCTCAGCGTTGAAGAATTGTTCTCTAATATCGTCGCGATTGCGTTGCTCTTCCTCGACTTGAAGTTGGAGCTCACGAATTTGTTCTTGGTATCTCTTAAGGTTCTTCTGGGCATCAGCATTGGCTTTGTTGGCATGGTCAAGAGCGATTTCAAGCTCGTTGATGTCGGCTTCGAGCTTCTTCTTGACACGGAGGAGTTCAGCCTTTCCTTTGGCTTCGGTTTCCAAAGAGGCTTGCATGGAATCCATGGCGCGTTGATGGTTCTTACGGGTGTTCTCGAACTCTTCTTCCTTCTCTTGGATACGCTTCTCAATCTCAGAACGGATCTGGGAAACTTCGACTTGAGCGCGGAGAACCTTAGATTCTTCGGCTTCAAGAGCGGCCTCAGCCTCGTCAAGAGCGTGTTGGAGTTCTTCCTTCTCGATTTCGAGTCTGCGGATGATCTTCTGCATTTCGTGAACGGAACGTCCTCCTTCTCCGAGTTGGTCGGTAAGATCCTTGATCTCTTGGCTCAAGCTCTTGTTTTCACGACGGAGTCCTTCGACAACCTCCAAAAGCTCTTCTTGGGCATTCTTAGCCTTGAAGAGATCAGTGGCGGTGTTGCGAGCATCACGTTGAGCGGAGTCGAGCTCAGCGGAGAGATCATCAGTCTTCTTCTTCCATTCGTCGATAACCTTGTCGAATCCTTTCTGCTTCTTCTCAAGAGCGGCAGCGAATCCGTTGGCACGTTCAACATCAACTTGAGCATCGTCAAGATCTCCAACAAGGCGAGACTTGGTCTTCTCAAGGGAAGCGATCTTAGAGTGAGCAGCATCAAGAGCCTCCTGGAGCTCATTGATCTTCTGAGCTTGACGTCTCTTGGCGTCTTCAAGCTCATCAGCCTTGATGAGTCCTTCTCCCTCGAATCTGGCCTTCCATTGCTGGATTTCAGCGTTGGCCTTGCTGAGTTGACGGAGAATCTCGTTCTTTCCTTCAATTTCCTCTTCGAGGCTTTCTTGAAGTTGCTCAGCTTCGTGTTGGTAGTTCTTAGCTTGAGCAGCAAGAGTTTGACGCTCACGAGCTTCTTCGTCAGCAGTACGGCGAGCCTCTTCCAATTGGCTGGTGAGTTGACTCTTCAGTCTTCCCAATTGTCCAACTTGGGATTCAGCATCCTCAAGTTGACGGTTAAGATCTCCGTTTTCGTTGTGGAGACGTCCCTTGATAGAGGTGAAGTCCTGGAGTTGGCGAGCTTGTTCATCAGCCTTGGCTTGGAGTTCAGAAAGTTGAAGCTCGAATTGCTTAGCAAGCTTCTCGTTATTGAGCTTAGCGGAAGTCTCAGAATCAAGTTGGGCAGCAAGGTCTTCAGCTTCATGTTGAAGCTGGCTCTTGTCCTTCTCAATCTTGGCCTTCTGCTTTTGGAGTTGGTCAAGCTGGTCAGTGAGCTCAGCTACAGCATCGGTGTGCTTCTTGCGAAGTCCTCCGAGTTGGTTCTCGTGATTCATGTTGGCTTCTTCAAGGTCACGTCTAAGCTTGGCAAGCTCAGCTTCTCTCTTCTTGTTGATCTCAACTTGGGCAGCAGTGGCTCCGCCTTGTTCATCAAGACGCTCTCCGAGTTCCTCCAACTCGCGTTGAAGATCAGCCTTGGCGCGGTCAGCCTTGGAACGAGATTGACGTTCGTTTTCAAGCTCCTCTTCGAGCTCAGAGATTCTGCTCTGTCCCTCCTTGATTTGACGTTGGAGTTTGCTAACAAGAGCTTGTTCGTCTTCGAGACGGCTGCTGACAGAGTGAAGTTCAGACTCCTTCTTCTTAAGATTGTTCTCCAAGTCGTGACGTTGGCGGGCAGCCTCATCAATGTTTTCTTGGGCAATCTTCAACTCTCCCTCAGTCTTTCTCTTTTGCTTATCAAGATCAGCACGAGCTCTCTTTTCACGCTCAAGAGAATCTTCAAGGTCGTCAAGAGTTTGTTCGAGCTTAGCCTTAACCTTGTTGGTGTGGTTGCTCTTATCTTCCTCAGCCTGGAGATCTTCCATCAATTTGCGGTTGATTTCTTCTTGGTGCTTCTTCTCCTTGTTGAGCTTTGCGATGTTCTCATCCTGTTGTTGCATTTCATCTTGAAGAGAACGGATTTGGTGATCCTTGGACTGCTTCTCAGATTCAGATTTACGAAGACTCATTTCGAGATCTTGGATCTGCTTCTTCAAGGATTCAACCTCGGACTCAACCTTCTTCTTGGCTCTCTGAACGTCAGCGTTGCGATCTTCTTGATCGGCCAAACGGTCATTCAACTCCTATAAAAGATACAGTATACAAAATTACGAATTAAAATTATCTTACATTGAGTTGCTTCTCGCAGTCATTCTTAAGAGCTTGGAGCTTAGTAAGACGCTCCTCAGCCTCAGAGAGTTGTCCCTTGGTTCCTTCCAAGTTGGTGAACAATGTGTTCTTCTCTTCCAAGAGCTTGGTAGAGCTATCTTCGAGTTCCTTACGGAGCTTGGATTCCTTCTCAAGATCAGCTTCGAGTTGCTTAACCTTATCGTTGATCTTGTCAAGCTCTTCGGCTTCCTTTCCGGCCTTGAGGAGTGGCTTGACTTTTCCGTAAAGCTTGAACCATTCCCAAGTACGCAATGTGCACCAAGAACGAACGTTGCGTTGAACGATGAGAAGTCCAGCACGCTGTTCGGTACGGCGTTTGCGCTCGGCAAGACCCAAATACCAACGAACGGAAGCTTGGAATCCGATCATGATGGAAGAAAGTTTCTCATCACGAACGTCTTCAAGATGAGCCAAGATACCGGCCTTGAAGAAGACCTTAGTAAGACCGACTCTGAAGTTATCCTCTTGGAGAACTCCTTCATTGACAAGTCTGCTCATGATGGCGTCAGCACATTTCTTCTTGTCATCATCAGACTTGGCTTCCTTGGCGGCAAGGATAGCGTAACGTTGGACGAAGTCAGGGTGAAGG